AGCGGCAGGATCTAACGGGCAATTGACCAGGAGATAGGTGGAAGGAAGGCCCCGATTCTGACAATAAAGGCAAGCAGTGGTCCGCTGGGTAAATGATGGCCGGGACAGATGAGTGGCAAGAACAGAGTCCACATGATGAGTTTGAAGAGTACCGAGACGAGTCTCCTCTGATAGCAACTCAGAAATTGCTTGTTCAAGAGTGGGCAATGGATGGCGATGAAGCAGAGAGGCACGTACGAGCTCAAAGGAGGAAGTAAGAGCCATGAGAAAGTGCACCAACCTTTGCTGGTTGCGATAAATAGTAAATAAAACAGCATCTTCGTGGTTATGCCAAGTTGGTTCTGAAAAAGCAAGCTGATCCCAAACAGAGTACATTTGAGAAAGGAAGTCATTAATGGACTGAGTGGATTCTTGGCGCATGCGGTGAAGTTGGTTCTGAAGTTGATATTGATGGGCAAGACCAGTAGTCTGGTATCGTTCTTTTAAAAAATCCCAGATGTCTTTTGCAGGAGTTGTTACAGAGTCAAGCTGAAAGTGACCAAACTGAAGACTGATAGACGTAATAGAAGTATTTCGAAACCAGGTAATGATTTGGTAATTCTTACTGTCCCATTCCTCAAGACGATCTTCATATGTAGGAGTAGCAGGAGAAACAGTGGTTTCAGCAGTGTCTTTCATTGGTTGGGTCATGTCCCCGGTGATAATTCGCCAGAGCTTCTTTCCTTTGAGGAAGGAAGACATGGCTTGGGCCCATAGAACATAGTTGGAACCATTCAAAATAACGGAAAATGGATAGGAGGCATCATGACGATCCATAATAATAGTTGAGTAGGGCTAAATTGATAGGAATAGACCTGTAGGAGCAAAATTAGGTAAAACAGAGTGTACCAGTGAGTCCGGAAGGCCGAAAATAGCTAGGAAATGTGGGTTGTGTAGAGATGATGTCAGCAGGATGGAAAATGATGTCAGCGGCGCACGTTAGCAGAGAGGGCGTGCGGCGCATGGTAGCAGAGAGGCGCACGCAGGTGCACAATAGCGGAACGGCGTACGCGCGGCTCACGGTAGACGAATGGCGCACGCGGGTGCACGGTAGCGGGCGCGGCGCACGAAAGGGCAGAGTGGAAGGCACGTGTGAGCGTGGCAACGGAAGCAGAGATGCGTCGAGCAAAGAGGCGGCGCGTGAGAGCGCGTGAGAGAGTTTCTGGTGACGGGCTTGGTGCCGTTGGAATCGTAAGGAGATTCCAAGCTGTTTGGTGTAGTTCCACTGTGTACGGGACTAAGCACCAAAATTGAAGAATGCCAGAATTGTATTACGTGGCTCTGATACCATGAAATAATAGTTTGAGAAAGTGAGAGAGGATAGAGAGAGAGAGAGAGAGAGAGAGAGAGAGAGACAATGTATTGTTTGTCTGTCAATATATGTGTATTACAAAGAGAATGCACTCTCTTTATAGAGAGAATTATGGTGCATTGGATGCTGATGCACACCGAAAGCATAAACATAAAGAATAAAGTGCTAAAGTTAGTAATAATTAAAGCTATTAACAATTATACACTAACATAACAATTATACACTAACACAATCATTGAACAAAACAGGATTCAAAACAGCTGAGGACATGGTTCTTGTGCAAACAAAACTAGCCCAGATGACAAAGACCACAGCTGGCGCTTTCTCTTCGGCCCAAGGAAACCAAAATAAAATTGGCTTCTCTGTAGCAAAATATTTGTGCGAAGAGTTTTGTCTGTAGAAAACTCAATCACACCAACATTGACAATGAATATTGAGAACAAGAACCAAAATAAATACAAGCAAAAAATATAGAGAACAAAAGAGAAAGAGACAATCACACACAAGACGTGAGCAATCAATTAATTATGTGGTTCGATTATGTGGAAAATATATGATTTTCCACAAATAAATCAATCCATGAAAATAAAAACTAAAACAGAAAAATTAAATCAATAATGACACAAAATTTTTTGCATGGTTCCCTTAATGTAAAGTACGCTCACGGGATCGAAATTCGATTCTACTATTAATCATAAAGTTTTTAACATTCTAAATAATCACAAATAATTAAGAGGAAATGTCTCACTAAATAGACGAATAAAAGTTTTCAAAACAGATTATAGAAGACCCAAAATAATAGACCCAAATCAGCTTCACCAACCAAAGATTCACCCAAATAGAGAAGCAGGGAATTTCCTCTTAGACATGCACTGCCAAATCGCTTCTTTGTGCAACCAAGCAAAATACCACCGAATTAATCAAAAAGCTGCTGCTCCTCTCCACCAAGTCAAACGGCTGCCATTTTGTTTCGGAAAAAACAAAACAATCCCAAATATATTGTAAATTTTGGGGTTTTTTTAGTCAAAACTCTGACGGTTGTCAAACTGATTATAAAAATTAGATATAATATATTAAAAATATATTATAATTAATACTAAATTAAATTAATAAAGTGGTATACCCAACACTATCTTCACCGAAAATCACACAAACACTCTAAATAACTACAATATTGAGAGAAACAAACTAAAATTTTGTTTTATTTTTTGTTGTTGAACGTAATAATTAATCTTCAGATTAGGAAAATAGAAGCAAGGAACCAAATCTTTCTCTTTTTTTTGGGCTTCTTTTCACTTTTAGTTTTTGTTAGAACCAAAAAGAAAAAGCAGGAAAACATTCTCGATAATGTTACTACATAAAAGAAAAGCGGAGCTGTTGCAGAGTTCTAATTAGAGCTTCTGGAGTACAGCTCTAATGAGCTGTCCAGCAATTAAAAAAAAAAAAAAAATAGGGAAGTAAAAGACAAAAAAAAAGAAAAGAAAAGACAAATTAATGCTCTATTAGAGCTCTTCTTTTAGAGGTCTAAATCATTTTTATTTATTTTTTTATCGATTATGACAGATTAATTATAACTAAGTTCAATTATGACATGTTAAGGAAATCATGAATTTAGATTACCCCTTTCTCTCTCTCTCTCACATGCAGTTGGGCCGGTAAAAGAGCCAAGTGAGATACAAAGAAATTCAACCATCTCTAGCCATTTTGCCTTCTTCTTCACCCAATCTCTTATCTCCATCATCTCCTTTACTCTTGTGTTCTTGAGTTGAGACCATTGAAGAATCTAAGCCTCTCACATTTCTTCTAGAGAATTCGAAGTTGTTCTTCAAGGATCTTCGAAAATCTTCGAATTTTCCAACTTCTTTCTTGAACCCTCTCCTACAGAGATTAATTGGAATCCCACTGGACAAACTAAAACCCTTGTTGAGACAGAGAACAGCACAGTTAGTAATCAAAACCTTCACGATTGTGACTTGTCCCACATCGGACAAAGAAAACACAAAACTTTTGGTTATAATCAGAAAGTTGAAGTCAGGAATCCAGGCCGAGCTGTATAACGGCAGCTTGTGACTTAAGTGAGGGCTAGCCAGAATGAATTGCGCACCAGATCGGCTTGATTCAATCCTGGCACTGGCAGACATAAGAATGCAACTTCTTTTTCAAATTTTGAAATTTTTTTTACATTTTTTTTAAAAAAAAGACTTCTTAAATACATCTACACAAGGCGAACATGAAAAAAAAATTCAGTGGAAAAATTGTTTGGTTTACACCTTTTTTTGAAAATTGATTTTTTTTATTTTGTTTTTAATTAATTTTTTAGATATTTTACGTAATTTTTTTATTTTTCAGATATACGTAATCTAGATACATTTAAAAAGTATAATATTTTTAAACTTTTTTTTAAAAAAATTACCAAATACAAAACAAAAGACAAAATCGATACAGTTCGATATGATTTTTTTTCTTGAGAAATGTTATTTACCATCAGTTTTATTTTAATACTTCGTTTTTCACTTTTCTAAGTGTTGATGCAATAAAAGCCATTGTATGATAATAAAATAATGAAACTTGTCATGATACATAAGCAGTGAAAAAATTGATAAACTGTTTTTGTGATATATAGCTGTCCTTTTTCACGAAAACAATTTCTGAAATTGATTCATCAAACAAATTTTATGTATTAATTAAAACTGAAAAAATTAAAAAATGACACAATTTGATGGAACCTAAACGTGTGTTGAGTCCAAGTTCAAGAAAGCAACAGTGGAGTTGGGCAGCAGAAACGGTATATTTGGGTCTTATTTTGACATAAATTTTATTTTTTCAAATCACATCTGTGAAAAAATTGATAATTTTTAACCGTAACTGATTTCTTTTAGCAACTTTTATAGTTTATTATTTGTAATTTGTATAGAGCTTTTTGTTTAGTCATTTTGGAACATTATTATTTTTCTTTTCTTATTCTGTATAATATTTACTTCTATTAACAAAATTGCATTATCTTTTCTCAAAATACTGAGAGGTACAATTGTAAGTAATCCCACATCAAACAGAAGACTGAGGAGTTTTGCTTATAATTGAAATATTGTTGAACATTTAGCTAACTGAGTTAGGTGTCGTTAACTTGTGACTCAAGTGAGAACATTAAAACAACCAGACATTAGTGTAATCCACTCTCAGGAGGGCTCAATGAATTGTGTTTTGGTTCAAACGGTAGAACATTGGAGATGTAATGACATACATTATCCTGGCCACTCGTGGAGGGTGAATATTTTTTTTCAAGAAAGCTAATTTCAAAATTAAATTTTAAAATCAATATAACTTGGTAATTAACTGAAGCAAAGCACAGTCCCAGGAAAATCATATGAACACAATCGAAAACATTCAACTGTCCAGCATCACTAAACGAGACTACCAACAAAAGCTATGAGAAAAAAACAAAAAAAACAATATAAACCGCGTCGTTTCAAATGGACTAAAATTTCAGTTTTCAATTGATTTTTTATGAGTACAATTTATTTTAATTATAAAAATTTTAACACCGATTGAACCAACAGAAACATTATATTTAAATAATTTTTATATTTTATTATTCTTTAATGTTAAAAGATAAATGACTACCAATATATTTTTTATATGAGGAGAGACATTTATAGAACATTAAATTTTAATAAAATTCTTGAAGCTTTTTTTGAATCCCTCATTTTCAATATAGTACGGACAAGTCGGCTCTTGTTTTTTGTTCAAAGCCTTATTTTTCCACTCTATTTTTTTTTTCCTTTCAGTTTTCTGTTTTAAGAAACTTTTGATTGTTCAAAATGTCCACAATTCCTGGATCTTCAAAGCTTAGCTCTCTGTAATTCTAGTTTGGCAATAGTTCCCAAGTGGACTTCATCTGGACCATCTGCAATTCTCAACGTCCTCGATGTCGCCCATAGATGAGCCAAAACAGTGTCAGAAGATACACCTGCGGCACCATGCACTTGAATTGCCATGTCAAGCACTTTCAGCGCCATATTTGGAGCCGCTACCTGCTCATAACATTGGACCATAATCATTATCATTATCATAATCTGTTATAGATCGATAGAAAAGATAACCATATAGAGGAACTGAATTCTAAACATGAAGCATACCTTTGCCATTGCTAAGGTTCCCCGGGCTTCTTTGTTTCCAAGCCGATCAAGCTGGTCTGCGGCTTCCAGAACCAACAATCTGGTTTGCTCCAGCTCTATTCGGCACTGCAATGAGGAAGCATTTAAGGATCAAAATTTCATTTCAGTATGTTGTTTCAGTTAGCTTAGAAATGGAAACATTTTGAAACCGTTTTGGGAGCACAAGGGAAATGAGAAAATAATTTTTATCATCTCCTCTCTATCTTTCCTCGTCTTCTTTCTAGTTTCTCAGGTTCTCTAATAAATTTAAGAATTTTTCTTTATTCTTACAAAATAATGTATACAAAAATGATCGTTGTTAAATATTTTTAATAGGTGTCAAAAAAAAAGTTTCAGTGTGTTGCGTAATGTTTTGGCATGTTTCGGTGGAAACATTAGAATTTTGATATTCTAATATTGTTTCATTTCGGTTCCATGGGAAACGGAAATGTTTCTACCAACCATGTATACATTTTATTTCAATAGCAGTACAAGATCATTTCTTTTTCCTTTGTCTATTCATATTCCATTACCAGCTAGGTAAATAACGAAACGTTAAAAACAAATTGCATTGCCTAGTTCTTATGGGCCATTCTATCAAGTAGTTTCAAGTCAAAATTACCTTGGCAATATCGGAACGGAATGAACCATGCTCGGCAATAAATTTTCCAAACGTCTTCCTTCTAAGAGCCCTTTGAACCATTATCTGCATGCCACGCTCAGCTGCGCCTATTAGTCTCAAGCAATGGTGCAACCTTCCTGGGCCAAGCCTGCCCTGCAAGAAAGCAAGGGCAGTGCAATATCAATTAGCAAGTACAACCCCAAGAGATCCCCGCAGACAGAACTTAATGACATGATCTTTAACGATCCAAACCAACTCCTAACTAAGTTTTGGGAATCCAGAATTCTCTCGGTGTCCTAAAAAATACACCACCAACCCCCCTCATCAGTGTGCAAAGCCACAGCATGGTTGTCTGTACATCTTCCCAGCAAACTTAGTGCAGGTTTTGAAGGTGCTAAATCCCATCTTAATCCAGGTTTTAGTGTTTAGCCCATCACCAAACAACAACAACAACAACAATGCAGGTTTTCAGAGCTAGTCAGATTAATCAGTTGCTTGGAAAAATTGAAATCCATTTTTGGATGTTTTCTGGAAGGTATATGTACAGATGATACTGAGAGGTTCAGCTTCATTGGAATTGGAATAATTTATGAATTTTCATGGAAGACAATCAAGATGAACAACAAACATTGAAGACTACACTTCTTGCTGTAGTTTCATTACCAACGAAATTTCTTCTAAAAGCATTAAACAATTTACCTGGGCAATCTCAAAGCCACGCCCTTCTCCCAACAGAATATTCTTGGCTGGCACACGAACATTCTGAAATGATATCTCTGCATGCCCATGAGGTGCATCATCAAAGCCAAATACTGTGAGCGGTCTCTGTATGTGAATACCAGGAGTTTGAATATCTACTAAGATCATTGATTGTTGCTTATGCTTAGGGGCCATGAAGTCCGTTTTTCCCTGCATATTGTTCAAATCACCTTCATTAACTCCCACTATCAGTATAATCAACCATTTGTATTATACCAAACAAGAAGAACTAACCATTACTATAAGAAGTCTGCACCTAGGATCCATTGCTCCACTCGTCCACCATTTTTTCCCATTAATAATATACGAGTCACCTTCTCTATACAAGGCACGTCATGAGTGGTGAAATTATATTTTTAGCATATACTCTCAACAAAAATTATACAGAATTATTGCAGCTGTAAAAGCTGAGGGAAATTAAACAAAGAGGTTGATAAATCTGCTCTCTTCCATTTTTCATAATTGAGGTTGCTGACTCAACTGCCAGGTTTTGATGAAGAGGACACCTCCTTGTTAATAATGTATTGAAAACTACCCAATTCATTGAGGGCTTATACTCTTTAAAATTAGGGTGTATTAATGTGAAGGGGGGGGGGGGGGGGGGGGGGGGAAGAGGAGAATTCTATTCCTGAAATTACAAAATCATCTATCTTAATTACAACTATTGATACATAAAGAGCTCAGATGGCACTGATCGTTTCTATAGATAACTTTCAACACCTAAGCTTTAAATTTAAAAAGTCAAAATGCAATGCAGGTCATTCAAACTGCAAATCCAACATGCAATGGATTTTCTATCTTCTATCTAGTAGAATTATAGGGAAATGGAGAGAAAAGAAAAGGAGAAAGACATATTTCCGACATGTTTTAAATTTAATAGTGCTTGAGGTGTTCGTCCCAATAAAGATAACTTTCTTTCCACTGTACAGATGGTTTACCTAAATGCCACAAAAGAAACAATGGCAGATCCCTGGGATTCTTTCTAATAATCATAATCATGCCCCCAACAACCTCAATAACATCAAAACTGTCTAATGCTTTACACAACATGCCAAATATATCAATAGAATTGCTTGATCAAGGTGAATTCATCAATCTTCACAGGAACATAAAAGTTGATGTGACACTAGAAGTGTCATCTTTGCCGTTTATAGACTAATCAAATCACCACCTTTTATGATTTTTCCTTTTTCAAAATCTAATTAGGATTGTATCACTTGGCCAAATAGTATAGATATGTAATATCAGAGAAGCACTTACATACCTTTTAATTGAGCACTCTATATTGGTTGCATCAGAGGACGCAACTTCAGGTTCTGTCATTGCAAAACCAGACCGGATTTTACCCTCAAGCAAGGGAATAAGCCATTCTTGTAGCTGCTCTTTGTCCCCATAGCGCAATAATACCTAAAATGAAAAAAGTGATGAATGATAACATATTAGATAAAGAATGCAGGAAGTCAGTACATTTGCATATATATAAAAGTAAATTAAATTGCTCCATCACAAATTCCAGGAAGAACAATGCAGAGCTGTTAGTTTTTTGTCCCTTGGAGGTTGCACAAGCAACCATCATCATTGTTCTTTCTTGCCACTCAAACTGTTTTTAGAGAACCTCACATAGTGATTACTCTGCCATGCGGACCATTGGTACTAGGCACTATAATTTACCACACAAATGAGCATTTGTACTATCAGAGTGAAATGGAAATGCAATGCTGTAGTTGTATGAATTTCATAGTTTCTCAACTTAAGCAGTCTCTAGACATTTACCTCCATATTTCCAGTGTCAGGTGCCCCACAGTTGAACATCTGTGGAGCCCAAACAGAACGACCCATAACCTCACACAGGTACCCATATTCAAGGTTTGAGAGACCAGCACCCAAAAAGCAATCACTTGACTTGTCAACTGGAAATTCATTTATCCCATCAAGTAGCTTCCTTGCTCTAGCAGCACTTTCAAACTGCAAATAAATGTAAAGTTGTAATCAAATATGATTATTGAAGAAGAATATTATGTTGCAAGTGTAACAGGCTATATCCTGAAGTAAAAAAAATATACACTTAAAGCTTGACTACCAAAAAGGATCGCAAAGACAATACATACAGGTATAAATAAGTTCCATAAGCCTTCTCTCTTTGCTAACTCCTTCAAGTTCTCCTCCTCTGGGTGAATTGTCCAACGCATGGTAGACTGTGCAAGTTTGTAGAACTCATTTTCCATAGGGTAAATGCGATCCTCCATAAACTTAATTAATCTCTTTCTCAATTCTTGAACCTTCTTACTAGGAACAAATCTTCCTGTTTCCTTTAATAGGTCTTGATTTTCACTTTCATTTCCTAACTGTTCCAAATGATCTTGCACAGTTGCGTCTGAATAGTTTAAAGGGAAACAGCACATTAGCAATGATTTTGGGTGATAAATAATTCGGAAATGAAGGGACAGAAAACCCTGTGCTTAAAATCATAACATATATGATACTTTAGATAGCAATTCCAAAATGCTAAGCCTATTGTAGATCATCAAATATTGATTTATAGAATGTAGATCCAGCCGTCATAGTTAGATTCTGCTTTAGGATAGATGAATTTTGTATTTACAAATCTATAAAACCAAATTACATCTATTCCACAAAAATAAACAAATAAATAAATAAAATAATGAATTTAGCTCCTGGCTTCATCATTTAGTAGTAACAAGTGGTGTGCATTAGCCTCTAAAGCCAAGAATTATTAAACAACAAATCTACCAGATGGAGGATGCTGAGGAAGCACTGATTTTCGTCCAATAAATGACCATGCGGTTTCTATAAGAACATTAGCTTTTCTCCCCGCGTTTTGGGCAAGCTCACCTCCTGAAGCATTACCCTGCAATGTATGGCAAACAGAATCATATGTTAGACCCTCTCTACCAAAACTTTGTGGCCAAATCAACAATTCATTTTGAACTTTCTACTATGCAAGAGTTTTTTTGGCTAGATATACCATAATCCATCTGCTATGTATCCCTGCGTAGATTGATGCTCCACGGAACATGGAGAAGGCAACATAAAACTTCCACTGGGCTAGAGGCCAAGTTTTTCTCTGCATTACAATGTCCGTAAGATTAAGTCCTTCAAAAGTCAAGCATACAACAGCAAATGAAATATCTCTGCTAACCAAATACCATAAATAAAGATGGCTACCAATTACACTGCAGCAACTATGCACACTCAAGGGAGTAGATCCCATCAGTCTATATCTGCCCAAGTGGTAAAGAATTATGTTTGTTAAAATCTCTACTCTCTAGAATTCACCTTTCTATGAAGTCATAATTTGTTCAAATAGTTGGTTGTTATTTCAATTAAATCAATGTCAACATAGAAATTCTTACATGTGAAATCTAATTTGTTGCTGCATTAGCACAAACATATGCTGAATCCTTTCTCAGAAGCTCCTCTTAGAATTTTTGTTCATTTTTTTGTTTATTTATTTTTTCTGTGGGACAGCATACTTGTGCATGTAAGATACCTTAGTTTCTTAATAAGGGGTATAAGTGCAAAGAATGTAAATACAACTATTCAATCTGGATATGGATCTTACAGACGCAGAGCAATATATTGCGAGGTATTCTGCCAGTGAAGGAATTCCTTCAGGTATGCCAGTAACTTCAAAACCTTCATGTCGTACTTTATCAAGCCTAGCATCCACGATGTGAGCCTGCCAAAAAAGAAACCAGCAATCAACAGGGAAATGACACTCGTTACACATCTAAGCTACTTTTTCTTTTTTGTGGAAGGGGAGAGAGATTAAGGCCATGTTTGGTTTGTCTCTTGAGAGATAATTTTTGAAATTTTGAGAAAAAATTTCAAAAATTTGTTTGGTTGAAAACTTTTGAAAAAAAAAGTCCAAAATCACTTTTCTCTCTATTACACGTCAATCAATCACTTTTTCTCTCACACCAATCTATTCAACTAGCAAAAAAAAAAAAAATTAAATCATCCAAAACTCCAAAACTATTTTCAAAATATACAACCAAACAAATTTTCAAATCTTGTAAACTCTTTCCAGAAAATTATTTTTCAAAATTGTTTCACAAATACAAACCAAACATGGCCTAAATTTCAATGCTGGGTTGGAAAATTTTAAAACAGCCGTACAACAATCAAAAGACTGCAAAATCAAAGACAACAGGATGACATTTTTGCAGTGGCTTAACGTTCCATGCCAAACTATTAGAGTTGTAAAAGGATGCAAGTACCATGCAGGTGTACGCAACATCACACATTTGGTTTCCAAGGGTGGATAACTCCCAGTCAAGAATGCCAATCACTCTATCCTGCACAATCAACAATATCCAATTAGACATGACTTGGATTTCCACATCAAATATAAAGACAAGTAATGTAACATTCTATTTTCTTTTTAAGCCAGTACTTAATTTCAAATCATAATATCTGCAAGTCTACGCAATATGTCAAGGAAAACTAATCTGGGGCCAAACTATGTTCATTCAATGAATTAGAAGGTTTTGAAGTACTGCACCTCAATGGGATGGAATACAAGATTATCAATCCGAAAGTCACCATGAACTAGGCCTGATGTTGCTCCCAAAGAATCTTCTAGAGGAATATGTTGCCGTAACCAATCAACCAGCTCTAACATTTTTGGATTTCTGTCAGACTTGCCGTCACCAGTTGAAGCAATATATTGTTTGGCCCACCTCTCCACCTAAAGTAGACATTATATGTCAATGATATGGATGAGGAACAAAAGCTTTCATTAAATTTGTAAGCACTACTAGGTTGAAAGTCGATATAATAGCCAAGTACGAAATATCAGGTTAATGCAATAACAAACTTGGTGATGGATACTTCTCATATCATGGTTCCATCAAATGTTTCATTCGATAAGAAGGTTTCAATGTTCAAATTCAAATATAGATCTTGGGAACATAAACCATGCAGATGGAAAATCTTTGCAAAGGTGGACCAAAATTAAAGTTGGCACAAATGGGATAAAATAACCAATTAGCCAAGGACTGCTAAAACTGAAGAAAGATCTCTAATATGGGGCTAGGAGACAATGGGAAATAGCAACAAATAAGATAAGGTTTCTCAAGTATTAGGTTTGGGGACGAGTCATGGGAATTGGCCTCTCAGCCAAAAAGGAGGGGTAGGCTGCCTCTACTACCACTCCCAAACTCTAAGTGGGAGTCTTGTGCATTGGGTACAAAAATTTCCTTAATCATAAGCCTAGCCAATCAGAATGTGAAAAAGAAATCCACGCTTAAAATGTATAGCATAAACATGTTTAATTATAAAAAGATGCGTATATCACCAAATGAGTGTTGTAACTTGTAACATATATCATGTTTTCAAATAACCAAATTAGGCACAAGTTGTTTGAATTAAAACAAGGTCATTTCTAGACAAAACACTTTCCAAAACCTTTCAGCAGGCAAATGCACCCGGTCCATTTTATCCATAGAAGGATATGCCCTAGCCCTAGCCCTTTAGTTTCAGAAACTGCACCTGCATTTAATCTGCTTACCCCCATTTTCTTGTATTACAGTATCACAAATTTAAAATTGTAGTCTCCAAATTGAGGACCTTCTGCCAGTCCTTTCAATGTGACAGTACCCTATGGAAAAAAATGTGCGGGTTTCTTTGGACTTTGAGCTCATTAAATATTAGTGATCTACAACTTAAAGCCATTCCTGGCAATTTTACTTCTGCAAATGCCTTTTAACTCAAAACTATGAAATTTTTAAACAAGCCATACCAAGGTATAAGATTTAGAATGGAGTATAAGAGACTACAGAATGTGAACCCTAGAGGAACTCACACACCTGCCGCTTACAGTAGTTTTCCCGACGCCCAAATTTTCCTAGACCAACAGCATCCACATCAGCAGAATGCAGAGAAGCTAAGGCTTTGGCAGCTGCTTGATATATTGCCCTCCTGCTTTTAGGTGCCAAACCCTGATCAAACAAAACAGTGCCATACGCATAATCAACAATCCAAGTCAATAAACAAGGATCAGAAGCATCTAACAGAAACCCAATTTGGAAATTAAAGAAATGGTGACAAGAGTTAAAAGTTCATACAGGTAGCCCAGGATCCAAAAATATGCGTCCATCCAAGTATTCCATTATGTAAAATGGAGTTCCGATTACACTCGAATCAGTGCACAAACAGAAAACCTTAGGAACTGGAACCTGTGTATGGATACCTAATGCCTCAATAACCTGTCATATTGAAATAAGAACACAAAACACATATATAAGCAAAAGCCCAGAACTGCTATAATTAATCAAGTGGTGCAGGTTTTAACTAGTATTATTGGTGACCGTTTCAATGTATATATATATACAAGTCAACATATTGAGAATTTGAGAGCACACCTGAAATTCTCTCTCGACAGCATGAGCAGATTCAAGCAATTTGCCAGGGGGCTTCTTCCGCAGCACATATCGCTTCACAGAAGAACCCGTACTAACTTCCAATAGAAACGTAGGGTTTGATTGACCATGCCCAAACTGACTTGCAACAAAACAGATCAAAATTCAAACCAAAACCTCAAAAACAAAAGAGAGATAGAGAAAGGCTGTTCGGTTGCCGATAAAATCAAGGAAGGGGAAAGAATATAAATAAATCAAAAAATTTATCTTGGTGCCTCAACTTAGCCAAGGCTCTGTTGAGTACTACTTTTCTTCAAAACAAAGTTCCATGTCTTAATTAGTACTACTTTTCTTCATTTTCCTACTCTGTTTTTTTTTTTTTTTTTTTTTTTTTCAAACGACATGTAGATGTGCAGGGAGAGGGAAATGGGAAACCTGAGAGACGGAGAATTTGGAGGGAGAGAGAGGAAAGGCGTGGACATGGGAAGCGGCATAGCGAAGCAAAGCATCGAGGTCGAACTGGTGAGCAGGATGTACTCGCTCTACAAGATCACAAGTTCGGCTCGCCATTTTTTCGCATTTATCGATCACAAATCGAATTCGAACAATTACCTGGATGAGCAGAGTCGATTAGAAAGAGAGAGAGAGAGAGAGAGAGAGAGCGCTCTGCTTTGCTTTGTAGATATCGAGGCCGGTTAGATCAAACGAAGACAGGCATGGGAGTTTGTCTATGCTGAGTTGGTGAAGACGATGATAAGGCAAAGGGTAAATTACACTGACACCCTCAGGTTTTTATTTAATAAAAATACCCCTTTATATTTGAAAAATTATATTTATTCTTTTGTTTTTATACATATAAAATAATAAAAATATTTTATTCATATTATTTAAAGAGAAATAACAATCATTTTATTTGATTTAATTTACACAAAAAAATAAATTTTTTATTTTTATTGAATTTTTTTAATATTTTAAACAATTTTTTTATTTTATTTTTTAGATACAATATAAATAAATAAATAAATAAATAAATAAATAATAAAAATATAAAAATTCAATACATTATCTTATTTTGTTGTATTCAGTGATTTTTTTATAAAAATTTGTGTACAAATTTTATACTTTTTAAATATATTTAGATTAAATTGATCTAATCTAAATATAATAGTGGAAATAAAAATGAAAAATTATATTTATATATAAAAAATTATACAAAAAATATTATAAAAATGTTGTCATATGTGAATATAAATCATGTTTATGGATGTTTTGTTTTAAAGTGAAAGGTCATCATTAAATTATATCATTGTGTTTGAAAATTTTATATAAAGTTTATGTTTATATATCATCACTCAATAATAATATGATCAAATAAGATTTAATAATGGAAAGTTGTAAAATGTAGAAGAAAAAATGGTAAGAAAAATAGCAAAATAATTATTTAGAAAATTTTAGAATACGACATCAGCAATTCAATAGGTAATTTGTAATGAGATTAAAAATCTCACAGAGGAAAATGTAATTTTTCAAATGTAAAAGGGAATCTATATTAAATAGAAATCTCAAGAAGTATCAGTGTAATTTATCTTAGGGTGTGTTTGTTTGGATGGACTGAATAAGGGGGATTAGAATCTACTGGACTGTTAATCCTGGGATACATTGTCCCTGGACTATTTGGTTGGATTAGATTTGTATCCCATATTTGTTTAATCATGAGATTAGATGTCAGGAAATCACTATTTGGTTGGGTAGGTTATAAATCTTATGTTTGTTTGAGATATTATGGAGAATGATAAATGTTCAAATGATTATTTCACCCTTTTCAATTATTTACTAAGTAATAGTAATATTAAACATATCTTTAATATTTTAATCATTTTCAATTAGATTAAATAAAAATTTATTTTATTTTTTACACAATTAAATAAATTTATTTTTTAATAATTAAATAAAATAAATAAATAAAATATCAATAAAAATATATGTTATTTTTTTATTAAAATTTAAAATAAATTTATTTTAAAAAATAATAATAATTAAATAATGAAATTAAATAAAAATCTATTAAAATTTAAATAATGAAATTAAATAAAATATAAACAAAATTTTAAAATAAAATATCTATAAGAAATTATTTTAAAAATTAAATAAATAAAACATCAATAAAAATTAAATAATATTATTTTATTTTTAAATTGAGACATTTAAATTTTATTGAATTTTACTAAATATAATATATAATTAAATAGTAGTGAGTCAAAATAATCATTTCATCACCTAATCTCATATCCCTTTTTATTTCTCCATTTGTGTCTCACCCTGATGGAACACAATAGTCTAATTGATATAAGACTAATAATCCAAAAAAAAACTAATAATCTGTTGCAAAAATTTTAAACCAAACAACAAATTATTAGTTCAGAGTCACATTGGTAAAGAACTTATTAGTTAGTCTGGTGTATCACTACGTGAGAACATGCTTACGTCACACCCTAATCAACCAATAATTTTTCTACGAGTAATGTTAGAGACCCCAAATATTCTACGAAAAGTTTTATCAAATGTCTCACATGGGTGTGGGACCCACACAATGTGGGTCCCATGTGAGACATTTGTTAGAATTTTTGAGGCCTCTAGCATTTTTGTTTTTCTAAACGGGTGTGTGTGAGACATAATTGTATGCAATTATTATCATTCCAAATTTATAAAAAATAAACAAATAAAATTACAATTATAAAGGAAATTTTTTATTACAATTACGTAATAAAGAGAATCTTTATTGCTAATAATTGTGGCAGTGATTTATATGAATATTGAAAAAATAAATTATTAGGGTTTCTATAGTAATTTTACGTGATATTTAAAATGTGAATTAGAACAATAATGTATGAACTCACAAAAAAATAAATAAATTATAATGTCTAAATTTTAAGAGAAATCAATTCAAATAGCAAAATGCATGTCCACAATTTGCCCTACAACAACATTTGGAGTCAAATCAATCCAAATTTAAATTATGTGGATCAATTTTTATTTTTTTTCTTATGTGTGACTTATATTACATAATTGACCTTTGCATGATACTCATCTACGGTGTAGTGTATAATACTTCAGCCTTTACAAATTTAATTATATTTAGCTAAACATGCACTTTATCTTTCATAATTGAACAGTTACAAAATATTTTCTTAATTTTACAATCAATCAGTTTCATTTTTCACCAAATTTCACTATTTTTATGGTAAGAAATAAAATGACATATTAAATGAATTACATTTGTCACAATTTCCAGACAAGGAACTGAAAAGATAGATAGATACAAAAGGAAAAAATAATATTGGAAGAAATACTAGAGAGGTTTTCATCCTTAACTTTCAATATATATTTTCTTTATTTTTTTGACAACTCAATTCATAATTCATTCATATCTTTTTTAGGTTTCGTTTGATAAGTGACTTTTTTAGTCAAAAAATTACTAAAAAAGTCAAAAAGTCAACAACTTATACAAAAAAGTCAAAGATTTTTTTTTCTTTCTACTTTTTACACATATTTTCGTAAAAAGCCAAAAAGTCATTCCAAACATACTAGTTTTTTTTACATCATATTTTAACCAAAAAGCTAAAAAATTACTAAAAAAATATGTTCTCAAACGAGGCCTTAGTAAATATAATTTATACAATAATGCTAGGTAGTTCAAAATTTTGTAACTCAAATGACTCAAATCACTCAAAATGATATCGTTTTGAGTGTAAATGAGTATAAAACAACGTCGTTTTAACAGATTTAAGCCATTTGAACTATTTAAGTCATAAAATTTTAAGTTACCAAATATTTTTCTAATTTATAAGATAAGCTAGGGACTTTAGTACTTGCAAATTTAAACATTGGGCTGTACGCCTATAGTTGGTCCACATACCTGGGTTCATTGGCCCAATTTCTTTCCCCGCTTCTTATTTTGATAAATAATTAAATGTATAATGAATTTGTTTTAAAATGACATGGATTTAGTTATTAAAAAAAAAAAAACATGTTAATCCTTATTTTCAAATGCAATGTTATCAATAAAAGACTTTGTTGGACTGTTACACAACTTTAACTTAATATATGAAATTTTTGGCATATAATTAAATACTTGATTTAAGATTTAACCTAAACAAAATTATTTATTGATTTCCTAAAACCATCTTTATATCAAGGAAAAATTAGTTTAAGGTCTCTCTCCCATTTTTAATAATAGAAGAGATTCACAATATTATTTTATGATGTCTAAGGTCCCTCAACCCCATATCCATATATCACAGAGAAATTTGACTCTCTCAAATCAAACCTCATCTCTCTCTCTCTCTCTCTCCAAACTCTTCTATTCAACAAAAACAGAGACTTATCTCCACTTCTAACCCTCTAGCATTCAACGATTTCATCTCCATCCTCACACAAAATCCCAAATATGTCCAAAACAATGCGAGTTCTTCACTTTGGCGACTCCGCCGACAGCGTCTTTTTTTAGCGATTCCTCCAGCGGCGGGCCATAAACCAAGTGACGAAGTTCTCGGACTTCCTCTCCATTTCTTTTGAAAACGAGTTGAAGGAGAAGCTTAGATCTATAAATCTCACTGGCAATCACCTCCGGCTCGAAGGACTGAGTTCTCCGATGCCTTGGTAATTAGCTATGTTCGGTTCAATCGATAGGACATCGATATCAGTGAGAGATGCGAAGAAGATTCTAATGGCATCACAATTAGAGAAGGTGAGATTGAAGCTGAGACAAATGGCGATGAACTTGATTTCGTACTTAGAGCTCGAATTCTCACGGATTCGCATTTCTAATCAACATATTGGAATTCAAATTAAAAACCCTCAAATTAACGCCGATAAATTTGATGCCTGTAATTCAAATTCAATAGCTCAACATGTAACAACCCTGACCAATGATTTGTCGTTAAACCATGATTAATTATGCCTAATGAGTAATTAAGATGAAATTCTAAATTAATGCGTGTGACATTATTTGTGTTTATATCTATCTGTTGTTGGAATATCTGTTTGTTTTTCCGTTCTGTTCTACCAATTGAAGGCCTTATTGGTGTCTGATCAAGAAATTGACTTGATTTATGTGTTATTTGACTTTTTAGAATTTTATGGTAAGGTTGATTGAAATTCGATTCGGAACGAATTAAATTAGAATAATTAATGTCAATTTGCTTAACTTTAATTAATTCTCTAAGCAAGCCTATATAAGGCCTATACACACCACTTGAGTCATCTTTTGTCCATCATCTTTAAGCCTAAAAGAAACAAAACGTGAGAGAGAGGAAGAGGAGACCAAGAGGGTTGAGATCAAAACTTGAGCTTGGAAGAAATTGGTAGAGAATTCAAGGGAGTTGGTTTGGAGTCTTAATGAATTCACCAACTAGAGTTTAATTGAGAAGTTGAGGTAAAGATTCAACACTTAGATTATATAATTATGATATCTAGAACATGAATTCTTGAGGATTAAGTTGAATTATGCAAGAAATGCGCTAGTAAAGTAGAGAAGATGAGCATTTCATACATGCATGGGCATTTCATGGACTTTGAGTTTTGATTTTAACAAATTCTCACATGTAAGGACCTATATTTGTTCAATTATGGGAGCTCATTGTGGTTTTGCACTTTAACACTCCATTGTACATGTTTTTAAAGGTTAAAGTTCTTGACAACACATGCATGTTATGTATACATATTGGTCAAGT